TTTAATTTTTTTTAAAGCTGGGGTTTCACTCTGTCACCCAGGCTGGAGTGCAGTGGCATGATTATGGCTCACCATAGCCTTGAGCTCCTGGGCTCAAGTGATCTTCCCACTTCAGCCTCCTGAGTAGCCTGGTTAATTTTTTATTTTTACTTTCTGTAGAGACAAGGTCTCACTATGTTGCCCAGGCTGGTCTCAAACTCCTGGGCTCAAGCGATCCTCCTCCCCGGCCTCCCAAAGTGCTGGGATTACAGGCGTGAGCCACCATGCCCAGTCCACACTGGGTCTTGAAGACTCAGCAAACAATAAAAAGAATGTCGACATCCCATTGATAACATTTTTACATTGATGACATGCTGAATGATGACATTTTGGATACATGGGGCTCAGTAAGACAGGTATATTAAGATGGTGTTATTCGCTTTTATTTTATTTTTAATGTAGCTACTAGAAAAATTGGGAACTTGCCAAGTGTGGTAGCTTATGCCTGTGTTCCCAGCACTTTGGGAGGCTGAAGAGGAAGGATTGCTTGAGGCCAGGAGTTCGAGTCCAGCCTGGACAACGTAGCAAGATTCCATCTCTGCAAAAAATATTTTTTAAAGCTTAGCAGGGTGTGGTGGCGTGCACCTGGAGCGCCAGCTACTTGGTAGGCTGAGGTAGGAGGATCATCTGACCCCAGCAGTTGGATGGTGCAGTGAACTATGATGGTACCGCTGCACTCTACTCTGGGTGACAGAGTGAGACCTTGTCTCTAAAAAAAGGAAAGAAAAAAAAGACAGAAAGAAAAAAGTGGGCATATCCAATGGACTTGTATTTGTGGCCTACATGAAATTCCTGCCCTGGCCCGGTCCTGGGCATACTTGGAGCCTGGCCTGGGTACTCAGAGGAATTGTGACTCGGTAGACACTGAATGAATGAGCGAGGAATGAATGCATCCACTCATTCATGATGGACACAGGTCAGGTCCAAGGTCCATCTGGAGGGGTGGGGCAGTGGTGGCATGCTGGGCAGCCCCCCAGGTGTTCTCCCACCTGAATAACCTGCCCTGGGCCCTGAGGTTGGTTCCCTGAGGCCCTGGTGATGCCATGCCGGGTCTAGATCCCAGAGTCAGGCACAGGCAGCCAGGGAGGGGCCGGCACAGTTGGGGCCTGACTGGGGCTGCGAGGGCGCTGAGCCACCCAGACGGTGGCGGCCACATCCCGGAGCAACTCCTGCCTGCACCGGGAACACCCAGGCAACAGCTGAAGAGAGGTCATGTCTTTCTGTCCAGTGCCTTGGGGCCACTCAGGCACCTGGACTCACCTCCAGGAAGGACGCGTGGCCAGGGAGAAAGTGGTGTCCCCTGCAGCTGGCCTGAGCCCCAGGAGCTTCCTGGGCAGACTGCCCACCCAACGAGCACCCCTCTACAGAGTAGATGCAGCAGCCCCCACAGCGCCCGTCCTCCCAGACCCCATGCCCTCCCCCAGGGAGGAGCAACACCTTACCTTAATCTGGGGGGCCAGCGAGTAGCAGGTGAGCTCAAACCGGACCTGGTCATTCCCCTGAAACGCAGAACAGGGTTGTCAGAAGTCAGACAGGGACTCTGAGGGCCGGGGAGGGTGTGGGGATGAGACCATGGAGAAGAGGCAGGGCGGAGCATGTACACGTGTGGAGGCTCATGCGTGCACGGGCATGAGCAGGAAGGAGCCATGCATGCCTGGAAACATGGTGCAGTATAGGTGCATGCAGGACACGGCCACCCCCATGGAACTGCAGTCCTGGCCACCTGCTGAGGTCCTTCTCCAGATAGTCCCCGAGCTGCCCACACCGCAGCCTCTTCCTGGTACAGTGGCTCACACCTGACATCTCCGCACTTTGGGAGGCCAAGGTGGGAGGACAGCTCGAGCCCAGGAGTTTGAGACCACCTGGGCAACACAGCAAGATGCACCCTGTTGCTACAAGAAAAAAAAAAGTTGGCCAGGCTCGGTGGCTCAGCTTGTCATCCCACACTTTAGGAGGCGAGTGGATTTCCTGAGCCCGCGGGTTCAAGACCAGCCCGGGCAACTTGGTGAGGCCTCATCTCTACAATAAATAAAAAATTAGCCGGGCGTGGTAGTGCGCGCCTGTAGTTCCGGCTACTTGGAGGGCTGAGGCAGGACTGTCAGAGCCCAGCAGAATGACGGTGGGGTGGCCGTGAGTGTGCCACTGCACTCCAGTCTGAGGGACAAAGTGAGACTCCAACTAAAAGAAAAAGAAAAAATGAGCTGGGTGTGGTGGCATGTGCCTGTAGTCCCAGCTCCTCAGGAGGCTGAGGTGGGAGGATCACCTGAACCCGGGAGACTGAGGCTGCAGTGACCCGTGAGCGTGCCGCTGCCTTTTCCAGCCTGGGTGACAGTGAGACTGGGCCTCAAAAAAAGAAAAAAAGAAGAAAAAATTGAGAGCCCAGTCACCTGTCTGAGCCTCAGTTTCCCCATCTGTACCATGGCTGGTTGTGGGGAAGCCGTGGAACTGGGTGACCACTGTGGGGTTTTTGCTTGTTAGCCCCTCTCTGCACAGAAAAACTGAGACCCAGAGAGGGAAAGGGACTGGCCTGAGGACACACAGTGGGGCAGGGCTGGGGCCAAGCGCAGGTCACCCCGTCTGCATTGGCTGTTGTCCTGTGGGGACTCTTCCAATCCCCGTCGGGCCTTGAATGCCATCCTAGACACAGCCCACACTGCTGACCGCAGATGGCGAGCTGGGGGAGAGGAGGGCCGGGGTCCGTGCTAGCACCAGACGGCCCGGCCCAGCCCCCAGAGAGAAAATGGCCGTCTGCATCCTGCTTCCTCCCCCGCACGGCTCAAAGAGACTTAAGCGCCGTGGGAATGACAGAGGACCTTTCGCCTACTGTGAAAACTGCACGGGCGCAGCCAGGCAGCAGTGGGAATTACATGTTATTTCCCGGAGCCTGTCAGGTGACAGGGAAATGCAGGTTCCGGCCCCTCTTCACGGAGCTGGGAGCCGTGTGTGCGCCAGCCGCCCTCCCCGATGGCTCCCCTCCACCCATCCCTCAGTGAGCACCTACTATGTGCCACCCCCCCGGGGATGTCTGACCCTCTTTGACGGCTGAGGAAAGAGATGCTCAGAGAGGTGATGTCACTGGCCCAGAGTCACACAGCAAACACGCTCATCCTGATAGTTCACACTTAGGCGACGGGTCTGAGCTCTGCCCACAACGAACTCCTGGAGGTCCGTTCTATTACTATGGTTATCATTATTACCATTTTTGAGTTGAGGTCTCACTCTGTCACCCAGATTGGAGTGCAGTGGCACGATCACGGCTCACTGCAGCCTCAACCTCCTGGGCTCAGGCGATCCTTCCACCTCAGTCTCCCGAATAGCTGGGACTACAGGCATGTGCCACCATGCCCCGCTAAGTTTTTTAATCATTTATTTATTTTTGAGAGACAAGGTCTCGCTATGTTGCCCAGGCTGGTCTTGAACTCCTGGGCTCAGGCAATCCTCCTGCCTTGGCCTCCCAAGTGCTGGGATTACAGGCGTGAGTCTCTGCGCCCGGCCGGTCGGTTCTATCATTATCCCCATCTTCAGGATGGGGATACTGAGGCGAGGGATGGTCACACCTTCCCGAAGCCCCACGTCCAGCACCATCCCTGGGGCAGTGGCAGCCATGTTAACAGACAGACTTACTTTAGGCGGTAAGGCGTGTGGCCAGCGTGCCTTCCTAGCCGGGTCCCATGGCTTCCAGTCTCCCCCACACAAAGGCCCAGGGCTGGAGTCTGCCCATCCAGACACGGCCATCTGCTGAGCAGCCAGACACCCCCTGAGAAGCCAAACCAACCGGCTTCCTCGATGCAAACTCTGTCCCTAGGCCAGGCACTGAGGCTCACACCTGTCGTCCCAGCACTTTGGGAGGCCGAGGTGGGAGGACCACGGAGCCCAGGAGTTCAAGACCAGCCTGGGCAACATAGCAAGACCCTGTCTCTCCCCCAACCTCCCCCGCCAAAAAATCACAAAAGTTATCCAGGTGTGGTGGCACACGCCTGTAGTCCCAGCTGCGTGGGAGGCTGAGGTGGAAGGATCGCCGGAGTCCGGGAGGTTGAGGCCGCGGTGGGCCGTGATCGTGCCACTCCAGCCTGGGCAACAGAAGGAGACCCTGACAATAAGTAAAAGTAGAAGAATGAACAAAATAAGCCCTGTCCCTACCCCAGGCAAGAGCCAGGTCCCTCCTCATCGCAACCCAGGACCCCAGCACCAGGGCAGCCCCCGGCCCTTTCGGGGAGAAGGGGGACGTGGGTCCCTCCGCACGCGTGTACACA